CTGTGGGCCTAGTGATTTGACAGGGTCAATTATACAGATAGTTACATAGATTGATCATCCATGTTTTTAAAAATAAACAAGCTTATCTTGAAGTAAAAATGTACGTAATAGTTTTTTTTAATATATTCAAAGGCTGTAAATTGGTTTTAAAACACATTTTTGCTAGATCGATTCAAATTAATGAACTCTTGCCAGGCAATATGCCCACTCGCAAATGACCCGCTTTGAGCAATCTATATAACCATATATGTATCATTGACACTAGGTCCACAGGGTTGCCATATCTAAACTGTCAGTTCCCACTGGCAGCATTTTGACAGGTCATTGGAATGCCTAATTAGCGCCACTCTTATATTGACATCTGAGCATGCGCATATCGTTTACGTTCTAAAACCGACAGTAAGATTGTGGATGTTTAAGGGCGACTTTATTGCTTTCGGGTGTGTTCGCCGAAATTCGTATCAGTTCGAAGTTTTTTAATATTAAATATTTAATATCATCGTCATCTAAACCTTCTGAAATGATAATTTCAATGCATCTTCCATATTATCTACTATTATAGACAGTAAAAAATATGAACTGTAATTAACATTTTTTTAAATAAGGTAAAAACATTAATAAGGACAAGACTATAATGTCAAAACTTCATGTTTGCAATAAGTCTTTTTTATTTGTATCTAATTACGTTGTCACTATTAGTGGCTGACGTTATAGAAATTTGTAATATATCTCTTATAAGATCCATATAATGCTATTGTTATTTTTATTATTAAACTCTTTTCAAAGCAAAGGTTTAATACCGACAAAGTTTTAGGAGAAATATCGGTTATTTCTATCTTTTTATTGGTCATTGAATACAATAACAGAAATATCTTTTTATTTTAAAAAACCGAATGGTATAATTTTCATTACATTGCTGAAAAGTTTAATAATTTTTTTTATAAATCTAGTACTTACCTTGTACTGGCAACATTGTTCACTATTCATATTGAGATAGAATAAAGAGGACTAAAAGTGTCCGCACCTTTGCATTACCCTTTTACGTCATGTATCAAACTCGAGCTAGTAGAGCTACTCAGTTTTGGTGAGAATAAATGCCATTTTTTAAATAGCTTCATTTAAATGATATGAAAACATTTTCACTCCGTCAATCTTCAAATTTAAAATTATTGACTTCAAATTAATTAAAGTACGACTCTAAGTCGCTAAGTGCGTCCATCTTTCATATCGCAAAATAGTATCAATGTCGTTCCTACCTCATTCTATATTAATGACTATTCAGTTGTATTAGGCATTCCAAACAAAATGGTTGCCTGTGGACATTGATATGGCAACCCTGTGAGCCTGGTGAATTTGACAGAGTCAATTATAAGCTTATGCTTTGAAGTAAAACTGAAGGTAATTACTTTTTTACTAAATTAAAAGGCTGCAAATCGGTTTTGAAACATATTTTTCCTAAACCGATTCTGATTAATGAACACTTGCTCTTTGTAATTCACTTTGAGCAAGTGGCGACTTGTCCTAAGAGGCCAAAGCGCACAAAATATGTCGATCAATATTTTATGTTAGTTCAATAATTATTACAATTGTCGTGTCAAATTACTAAACAATGCATAATATATAAATCATTTTTCATTATGTTATTTGATACCGATTAAAAAATTCGGGACGTGTTATTCCACAGAAGAGATAACATATTATTCCAAGACACAACAAATAATTTAAGCGACTGACTCAACTCAGTGGACTATATTTCATCCGAGCACATCTTTCAGGCTATGCTAGATAGCAAGATATTGAAAACAGTTACGTCACACATGCAGAAAGTACGTGTTTAATATGTTTAAACGGAGCCACCTAATTGAGTGGCTCGGCTTAGTTTTTTGAATATTTTAGTCGCATGTGGTGTTGTCGGTGACTGCATCGGGGGGCCGGGTCATATAAGTTGAATGTTTTGTTAGCTTTTTATGTAATAATAAATATAAGTACTGTTTACAACTCATTCGAGGTAAATAAAATAGGAAATCTGTTAATGAAACATGTTTTTATGTACTCGCTCGAGGACAAAATTCAAATCAAAGAAGGCCTTTTTCAGATTTAGAAATCACAAAAACGCAGAAGGCGTTCACCTTTAATTCGTCTGGCTTCAACAGACGTATCAGGTAGTTTAATCGAAATATGTATTTAAAAAATAACTGTATTTGTGAATGTGATCAAAATGCATTTTGTTCTTTTTTGTTTTGCGTGTGTTTTGTTTGGGGGCAATCAAAATTTGGGCGTGACACCCAAAAAAATTTTACCTCCGGAACCAGTCGCCACTGCTTTGAGCAAATCTATATAAATATAATATCATTGACCCTGTCAAAGCCTATATACAGTATTGAGATATAATTCAACCTCATTGATATACAGGCAGCAATTTTGACAGGTTGTTGTAATACCTAATACGTTATATATGCCTTATCAAAACAGTAATTCTTATAAACAGGAGCGTCGTTCTTTCAGCAACCATTTTAACATTTATTACAATCAACTGGTTCTGTTAAAAAGTGGGTTAAGGACTTTGAGATACTTCGTCAATGACAAGAAGGAAGCCTGAGAGATTAAAAACAATGCGTACGCCAGGTAACATTAAAATGGTTGCGGAAGTCATGGCGAGCTTGCTCGTAAGAATTACAGTTTTGATAAGATACTTTGATAATGTATGCCCTACAGGCCTTTTCATCAAGTGATGAGCGCAAGCGCAGCCGCCATATTGAAATAGCGCCAATTCAAAAGTTTCGTACTGTTTTGATCAACAAAGACTGGAAAAGCAATATTTTCTCTACATACAAATCAATCATTAGAAAAAATCGTTGATGGTGATTTACATTTTTATAACTCTGTGGAAGCACATAGTTGTGAGCAATTAAAAAGGTTCTTGAAGTGACGTGGACGTTCGGAACAAGGAAAAAAAGTGTGGTGATTGAGAGGTTAGGTTTCAATACATATTAACTGTGAAAAAAATTAATGGAAACAAATAATAATTATAACTCTATTCTAATTAATTATGCCAACCAACTATTAATAATTGCAGAAATACTTTAACATGAAAGTTAATTACGAGTATAATTAATAAGATAAATTATTTTAAATTTTAAGGATCAACATGACATTTTTAATAATATTACTGTATATACCGAAGTAGTATTTAATATTAAAAAATATCGTGTAATACCAGACAAGGATTTTCTTCTGTTGAACCACTTTCTCCATGAAAATGTAGTGATCAAATATAAGTATCTTTAGTAACATCATTCATCAATCGATTGAAAACCTTTGTCACTTCGACCACATTTTTCACTCATAATACTCATTTTGAACATGTTTTAATATATATTTTTCCTAATGATTTGATAGTTTTTTTACGATATTGTAGGCAAGTCTTTTTATAAAATAATAATTTATACCGTGTGTAACTTTTACATACTTATAACAATACCGTTTAGTTTTCCTTTCCGTAAAAAACATAATTAATTGATTGCAAAAATTGATTTTTCAATTAAGACACTTATTACTTTACTTTTTTTCTCCCATTTTTTAAACGAATGCACTTACAATTAATATTTATCGTTTATAATTTTTTTCACGTGGACATTTTAACATGCTTGTTTACAAAAACAGTACGAAAAAGATGGCTGATACTGACGCATGCGCACAAAAAAAATTGTGATGAAAAGGCCTATTGCTACTGCTGAATTATAATTCAGCTAGCTAATATGCGAATAACATAACCGACATCATCCCCACCACCTTCTAACTGATACAGTACGACATTGTCGGATTGGGCCGTCGGTCTACCGGTCAAAAGACCGGTAGGCCCTAGTTCAAGCAATATGCCTTCGTTCAGGCAGTGGGCTTTGTTTAGGCAGAGGGCCCTCGTTCAGTTAGTGAACAACAAATGCGAAGAAGCCCTCAGAAGAAACATCAGTGTGCAATGAGGACCTTTTTTTTAATCTTCAAAGAATCGGGGCCCTGGAGGTCCCAATCCGACACTGCAATACGATACCCGTATTTTATTCTGCACCACCCTGTACATTTACAGCAGTAAGTGAAAATAACTTTTAGAAGTTATGCGCTGCATTAATGTGACATCAGTAGTCAGTAAGGCAAACAAAATCAAACCGTTTTGTCACTGATTTTTACATAAAAGATATGCGTTTCTTAAAAATAAATATACAGGGTGATTCATAGCTATTAAGACATAGACTAAGGCAGGTTATTTGTACCAAAATATGGCGATATGACCAAATATACCTTAATAAAATATTGCTGTGGAATAATATACAGGGCGTTAAAGTTAAACAATAGACTATAATCTCACAGCAAAAATAATTCATTGACAAGAAATGACATTTACCCAGACACAATTATCTGACAGTCTAAAGCACACATTTCATAAATAAAATACCCTATTGAGACTCTGAATTGTTCAATTGCGTTTTTCTCGAAAACGGGTGACATTATCGTATTTAAACACAAGTAACAATATTCCTTAGAAATACTGTTTACGTCATATTTTCTAATCAAAAGCACTAAAAAGTTTCGTCAAAAAAGCTACCACTTAATTTAATCACCAGAAATCATTCACGTGGCGCCCCCTGTAACAAAATGTGAAATAATACATAAAATAATAGGGTCATAAATATACAGTGACATTATTAAAAAAATGAAAAAAAATTCAACTTTAATGCTTTGTATCTTATTCAACAGCAATATTTTATTGAGGTTCTATCATATTTTGGACCAAATACCCAGCCCTTAGCTAAGTCCCAGTAGTTAGGAATCATCCATAGTTTAAGCTCACTAATGTACCGCATTTTATACTTTTATTCTTTGATGGATAGTTACTCTCAGATTATAGATAATATAAATATTTTTTTACTAATTTAAATTTTAAAAGAAATTGATATCGCCCTGTATATAGCTAGGCTTTCGCTAAAAATCGTCATTTTTTGCAGGTTCACCTGACTCGACAGGTAATGCCAAAAGAATGTACAGAGCTAGATTACACACAGGTCTGTCAGAACGATTGCTTTTTTATTGTGATGTAATTACCTACCTAATTGTGTTGTGGTCCAAAAAGGGTAGATATATTTACATTAAGGAGTCGTAGTTACTTAAAAAATAAGGTTTATAAAATTATTTAAATTTAATTTAACTAAAAGTAACTGCGGAGTAAATATATTCAAAAAATATTACAAAAAATAATGATCCTACTACTTTTTGGCTAATTTAAAATGTAGTTTTTTTGTTGGACACTGAGTTTAGTAAATTTTCTATGGGGACACAAAATCAATCCCTCTAAATTTATCTGCAAAAACTTAGTTATTTTGAATTTATAATGAATATTGACTGGTATCTATTGGAAAGAAATTTTATTAGATTCTTTGTCACACTAGTTTCTGCTATATTTATTGAGTAATTTTAAAAGAACACGAACCAAAAATGAATATAACCGCTAACATTTTAAAATTGCTATTTAACGTATTTCTAACAATCTAACTTCTGTTTTTATTGTTCTAATTATGAGCTCTAACTCTTCGAGATGCATTTAACTAAATGCATTTGTATTAAATAAAATATTTCGGAAGTCAAAACAAAGAATATTCAAATGTTTTCTGTTTTTAAACATAATCAAAATTCAAATTTTATTTCTTTGTTGAATGTTTACTTTGGCAACGATTGTAATGTACCTAAATAAATAAAATTTACGACAAACGGCTCTGGTATAATGCCAATTAAAATATCAATAAAAACTAATGAAAATCTAACATTTGCTCTTTGTATCCTACTGAATATAATCCGAGTTTAATAACTGTTATCATGTCCCCTACCAGGTGATAAAAAAATTAAAATATATAACATTTAAAAAATAAGCTTAAATAAATACTAAATCAAAAAAAAAATATAAACAATTCCCTGCTGTTTTGGAATAATATTGTACTTTTACTGAAAGGTAAAAATTTTCACTAGTAATCTTCATAATGCTTGAATTATTGAGGAAAATTTTTTGAAATTTTCTGAGCAAGTTCTTGTTCTGGAAAATATTTGCAGTTAAAATTTATTTCCTAAACTACATGAAAAAGTACCAAATCATTTTAAATACATTTGCAGCTTGTAATAATAATACCTAATAATTTTGTTTATTTTTGTTTTCATTTTTTTAAATAGTATCTTGGTATTTTAAAATTATATTGGTCTTTTACCGAAAGTTCATAATTTTTACTACTGATTATTGACAAAAATGTTCCGATCCAACGAATTTTTTTAAAATTTCTAAAAAAAATTCTTGCTCTGGAAAAAATTTCATGCCCAAATTTGAAACGAGGGTGTCAATGTTTATAAACCCTGATGTTGTTTTTACAAATTAAGTGATTAAAGCTCTATACTAAGGGTCGTGAATGGGGTCACTTGGATATAATAACTCAATCACTCTGTAATTAAAAAATGGACGTCACTGTATTTAAAATAAAATGACTTGAATTTATCTATTTTTGAATAGCATTCGGTACAATACTAAAGGAACTTATCTCAATGAGGTAGGGCTTCTTAAAGAGATAGAACAGGTGTCATCTCCGATTAAAGGTCTCCTATGATATTTCCTCTTCTTCCTTCACAGAACAATGTTGATTTTTTTGCTGTTTTTATTAGTCATGTGCCTTCTAAGGTGAGTGTCCAGTAAAAAGACCCAATGTTATCCTAACGATTTGTCGTTTTTGATCCAGTTTTTGAACTTTGCCGATGGTGCCTTAGTAAACTCTTTGGCCTGTTTTAATCCTGAAAAGTTGTTCCACCATTGCTGAGACTTTTTTAACATCCATTACCCAAGCTAAGGTCACTTCGTTTTGTCTGCTTAGCACTATCAGGTCTCCTAGGCAGTCTTTCACCAGGCATCATTTGATTTCTTGTAAGAGAAGTGTCTTTAGAGCTGCTTGGATATCAAAGTAGATGGCAACAGTTTTGCCTGATGTTTGATGGTTAATTATTGCTATATCAGTAGTCATTACTCATTATTTTTTACTTGCTAGTATAGTTTTGTATGGTCAACGCTTATTGTGTTTTGATCCTGCATTATCCCGTGAATGACGGACCTGGTTTCTCTTTGTATGGAGATGTGCAGTAGCGTGAGGTTTAATAACACATCCATTGCTGCAGTTGGTGTAGTGCGCATGGCCTTTATGGCACTCAGACAGGCGTGTCGCTGAATGCCAGTAAATTGGCCTATTGCAGTAGCCTGCGCAGTTTTGTTAACCCACGCCCTTGTGTTTAACCATATCATAATTTTGTTTTTCCAACATATAGTTCTACAGCTTACGAGACCTATTATGTATAGCTTTGTATGCGAGTTTTTTGAGATGTTGATTTCACGTCAGCTTTGGTCAAATATGACTCAGAGGTATTTGGCGGCTGTGACAAATGGTTATCTTTCCCAGAGTGTATAAAATGGTCCTATTCTCTAAGCTGATAGTGATCCTTGGCATATTGATACTGGACGTTTTTTGTTCTCGAACCTTCATTATTAACCTGATTGAGGTATTATTGAATGCTGCTTCGATATCTAAAAAAGTGGCTATTGCGATTCCTTTGTCATCTATTGACCTTGAAAACAGCCTGTTTAGTGCTAGGTCAGTTGACTTTCCTGACTTGTATGCATATTAGTTGGGATGAAGCGGATTTATTTCTAATATTTCGTCACTGACATACCATCAATCTTTCTAGCTTCTTTAGTAAGAAGGAGGATAGGTTTATAGGGTGATACGACTTTGGAGTTTGGTCTGTGAGCATACCTATTTTGGTAAGGTAGACTTCTGTGACCTTTTGCCAGATTACTGCGATATATCTCCAGGCAATGCATGCTCTAAAGATTTTGCATGGATGTAATAGAATTAGATATATTCCATCCGACTCCGGGATTTGTACGGCTTGAATTTGTTGATGGCTTAACTAATCTTGCGTGGTCTAGTGATCTCAGAGGCCAGGTTCCAGCCTATTTGAGTTAGTCTGATCACCTATTGAGTGTAGCTTTCTTAGTTGTAGACCTGTTAGGATTATTGAGGCCGGACAGTGTTAGTATCTCTAGACTTTCCTCTAGTGTCGTAGGTATCATCTTTGTGAATTCTAGCGCTTGTTCTGTGACCTTTTCGCAGAACTTCCTCCATGAGTTTCTTTTAGCTTGTAAGTAGCCTAGTCTTGCGTAGATTTTGCTCTATTGAATTGTGTTCACACCTTGCCTCTGAGGCTCTCTAGATGTTTATTTCACCAGACTGTCTTTTTCGTTTGTTATCTCTTTTCGGGACAGTTTTCTTGGTAGACATCAATAATTGCCTTGTTTTACAATTCCACTCTCCTTTCGAGTTTTCGTTTCTTGTACATTGGTGGTTTTCTCCTTGAAATATTCCCTAAGGGATTTTATGTACCGTTCCCAATTCATCCCTCTCAGTTTTCTGAACGTGTCTGCTGTATAAGGTAGACATTGTTATGAGCTACGCGAGGAAAATACAGTTACTCTCACTTAGGTCCCGGGACACAACGGGGTAAAGGGTAACGAGATTACAGATAGTCTCGCAAGGAAAAGGACTCAAACACCCTTTGTGGGACCTGGGCCGTTCTGCGGTATCAGCAGTAACACAATATTAGAAGAGATTTAAAAAGAATTGGGTAGTAGAAGAACCGATAATTGGAACAATCTCTTGAGGCTAAGACAGGCTAAGATACTTCTGAAAAGATCTAAAGCCTGTATCTTGCCTGAGCAAGAACAGACTACGTATTGAAACAGGGATCCTTATTGGGCATTACCGACTCAAAGAACACCTTATTAAACTGAGAGTAGTAGAATATAGTGAGTGCAGATTATGTGAGGAGGAGAACGAAACCTCCATTAACATTCTGACTGAATCCAAGGGGGCATTATACCTAGGAGCATATCAAATAAAAGAGGAGATTTACCTAACTTGAAGCCATGCTAAATCCTACACTTCCTTGAGAAGATGGCATTGGAACGATCGTTATGGGCGACAGAAGGAGGCACAATAGATCTTTTAGGTCGCAGTTTATTAGCACCCCATTCCCAACATAACAACATATATATATTGTATGTGGAATCAGTTGTCTGATGATTCATCATGCCTATTCCTGATTCGGTTATTTGTACCTCTCGAACATATGGTCAGATCTAGAACTTCTTTTTGGTTGGTAGTGACAAAAGATGGTTTGTTGCCTTTGTTGGCAATTTTTAACCCTTCACCTAGAATGAATAAAATAATGACTCACCTCTTGGATTGATGTTGTGCTTTCATAAATTGTGTGGTGTGTATTCGCATCACATCCGATTAATAGGATTGTTTTTGCTTCTCACAATAGGCAATGCTTTTGCCTAGTATTGCTGATGTTCATAGTATACTTGAGAAGTGGAAGCACATTGCAGCTCAACCTTATTCAAGTAAGCCCCATGCGTTCATTCATATATGATTTTCTACACCTTTCATGCATATTCAATGAATTATTTATCTTTGGAAAAACCCCTTTTCACATTTTCTCCTTTTACTAGCCTCCATAAACGACTTTTATCATTTGAATCCGGTATTTCATTGTTTAAAGTAGTATCACAAAGCAAACACAGTGAAATCGCGTCTAACTTACGATGGATACGCAGTAAACATAAATGAACAGTGAAGAAGCAATAAAAGTTTCCTGATTTCAGACGCCCATGATTCAAACAAAGAAAGAAGCGAACAATAAATATCCCACCCAAGAATACATTTCACAATCCACCCTAAGCAAAAATGTGAAAAAATTCAGAGAAATGGGCCATGTAAGAGACCATAAAGGTAATAGATAACAAATAGCAGAAAACCAAAACTAGATATTCTATTAGCATTTTAAGAGAATCGCCATCAGTTGCGGAGTAGCATTAGATTATAACATCAACCATTCAATAGTTTTTAGAAAAAGAAAAGTGGCATCCCTATAAACTTATTTTAGTTTAGGAGCTTCTGGAAAACCTTTTTGATAGACG